ATGATTTGATATGTAGCATAAAGTCATGCCTTGCAATCATCTCTTATTCTTAAAAAATTAATAATGTGTTTCCAAATAACGGCTTCAACCAATGAATAAAATATTGCTTCTAACATGTAACGAGGAATAGTTCGGTCTATAAACCAATCCGAACCACGTGAGCTGCCTCTTTGGTTAGCTAGTCCGAGTTTCAAGTGAAGCTAGACATTTGGTCAAATATGTCATTATCCCATTCGGAGTCAAATATTGAAATTATTGAATAAGAAAGGCTAAAACACAGCCACGGAGGAACTGTGAACTGTATGCCTACCATGCATCAGCTTCTAATCATCTTTTTGTGGATTCTGAGGCGTTGACCCTCTCTAGCTTCTCTCTGGAATTTCGAAAAACCTTTCAATTTGTCTTCTATTTTTTCTGAATCTTCTTTTAGGACGGCAAGTCCAAGAATTTAGGAGTTAATATAGTACCATAAAACATATGCCCCAAAGTCGTAATATTCCACCACGCTTCCCTTCCTAATGGGTTTCTGATATTTTATTTTTACTGCCCGTCCGTCCATAAAAGATTTATCAATAGAATAAGTATCATATTCTTTATTATTTATCCGAGAGGTATTCTTGTCATGCCGTAACTCCAAAGGAATCCGATGCATTCTTTCTTGTATGGGAATTACATTGCGTACCCAGTGGAGGGTTTATCTGCATGGGTTGAAAGTCATGAATCAGTGTTGTGGTTAGTAATTGGCTTCCACAACAAACTTTGAATCCTGCAGCCATTAAAAAACATTTGACTTGGAAACACAATCCAGACTTGCGTGAATCAAAAATTATTACTTCTTATAGTAGCTAGCGACCATGCCAGTTGTGATAGCTTTGGATTATTTTAGACTGTCTTAATTATGACTCCAAAAAAAAAAAAAAAAAATTTACAGTGTCTTGGATCCCACTGAATAAACGTATAAAGAAGACGATGATATAAATCTATTAGGGTTTTCTCACTTCATACTTTCACTGAGATTCTAACTGGTAGTACTCATTAAATACAGCTGATAGCTTGCAATGGGAAATTTCTGGGAAATCCTTCCGGATGTAAAATAGTACTATTTGACCGGAAAAAGACAATTTAGACATGTGGAAATGGCAAGTTTTTCTGTGGTTGTTTCACTTGTATGCTTCTAAGATTTAAGAATTCCGCAATTAAGAATGCATCCATGGAGGAGATCATCAGAGGTTTCAATTTCATGAATAAACAAGTAAAGTCTATTATAAATCTTCTTTCCAGCAGGTTCTAGATGTAGCATCTTCTTCTACCTCGAAGTTGAGTCTTCTCTACTGCCTCAATTTCTTTTATAAATTTTTCCAAGGTTGATTCTTCACCAATTAATGTGCGCACTCCACTCCAGATTCTGGTTGCTATACACGATGCCCCCTTAAGGGTTAGCCGAAGATAGTACATATATGCATACTTGGACTGACCTTTTAACATCTCAGACAAAGACATGTTTGTTAGACAGCGAAATCAGAAACAACAAATTTTATAGCTTGAATACTAACAGTAAAACCCCCCCGGCCCCAAAATGAAAGTTGTCAAATTTTCTGGCCTTCACAGGTCAATCTCAGTCACTCTCATGTTCTATCCACCACTCATGTGGTTCTAGCTAATGAGCACTTAAGCTGCAAATTAGTTTGGAGAATTAGACCAGACTGGTATTAGCAGTCAGCCAATCCATGCCTGAGACGATCGGGACAAGTCAGAAGTCTTTTCTTTTTCTATTAGGATTTAGCACCATAACTACGCATGGATCTTTTATTTGAGTTGGTGAGTCAGAATTAGGGTGCCAGTCAACGGTCTCCCGATTCTATACTGACAGAATTTTCCCTCTTCCCCTGCATTAACACTTTCGTAATTTTCATCAAAGATTATTCTACTTCCAAGAAAGAAAGAAAGAAAGAATTGTCAAGTTGTTATGAGCCGGAGACCGAGTTAGATGTGTATTAGGGTTGGAAAATATTTTTTTCCATGAACGTAGGAGTGGGAGAAAAAAGGTGTGCCATGAAAAGACAGGAAAATGAAGACAAAAAACTGATCATTCACAACTGGAGCGCAGAATCAAAATTGGTAGGAGTTTTATCAGTCAATTCTACAGTTGGCAGAAGCTGAAGTTTGGAAAACACGAATGGAAATAAATGGCTGGAGTGGAATTCCTGATGGATTCCACCACCAAATGAAAGTCTGCCATTATTAGAACCAGACAGCTTTTGTTGTTTTTTCCCTTTTAATGTTTTTGTCGAGTAGATAGGTACGTTTCTTATCTGCGTCTCCCCTCGTGTGTTAGACCGGAAAAGCATAGAAGCTCACCCCCCGTGTCTTAGACCAGAAAAATATGAAAGCTCCTAGATCAGATAAGCACGCTACTGCACCATCTAAGAGGCCCTTTCTGATTATTAATGGTTTTGAACCCATGATTTCCGTTTAAACGTTGCCCCGTGTATTTATATGCAGGACATCTGGTTTTTCTTTCATTAAAAATTGCATGAAAATTACTGATTTAAATTGTCATATTATTGTATTATTTATGCAAGTGACCATCATATATCAAAATCCACTGCTCCAACATGGACACAATAGTTCAACCTAGCAGATTCAATAATTCAAATTCCCAAAAGAATTTTGTGAGATGATCATTTCCCCTCTCTTTTCAATTTTCTCTGCATGTAAAACTACTTTTAGAACTTGTTACTTGCGTTTGTTTGCGACTAAACTTCTAGAAAAGAGAAAATATGCCCCCGCAACCTACAGAATGGTTCCCACTCAACGATAAATCTATCCAACGATAAATCTATCCATCTTTTGTCCTTGAATTACTGGTGTCAGCACCATCTAAAGACTAAAATTTAATAGACTCTCATGGTATCATTATTACCGTTGTTGAAAATTTCCCTGGACTTTTCTTGCTGATGTTGAAATCTTTGAAGCTTTTGGTAACAAAACAACTCTTCTATGAAACAGAGGCAAGACCAAGCTAACTACGTTTGAAATTAACAGAGGGTTTTGTGAGGTGTGGACGCTAAAGGTCAGTTTCTAATTGCCAGAAAACACAGCGGACTTCTGTGCCGTGCCGCAGTTCATAACAAATTGATGGGGGAGAGCTCGAAATGGTCGAGTTCAGAATCAGAAAGAATGGATTACTAATATCAACGGAACAATATTAATGCCAAATCTAAAACTCGCATTGCACGAGAATAAAATTCATAGAAAATGGGCAATGAAGCAAAAATTAGATCAGAATCAGAAGCACATATTCAGCGATGGTGACATTAGGAAACCGCCAAAGTAGAAACAAGAATGCATCTGAAAGTATCAGTCTTCATTATCAGGCTTCCAAAAAGACCGTTTGCTTATACAGCATTAGTTTACCATGACATGAAACAAGACTAATTACTACTTGATGAGTGTGAATGGTCATTTCGATGCCTCTCCTATTTTCCTCCAAATCCCACTAATATGTCCAAAAGGGATACCAGAAAACTTGTTAGTTTATTATATCTTAGTGAATAGCATAATTTTTTTTTTTTCAATTAAAACTTCTATTTCTAATTACCCCTAACAAGTTTTCTTTGATTTACATTTTACACGACCACAAATGACGGACCGGACCAATGAATTTCCTGAATCTTCATTTCGTATTTGTGAATAAGGAAGCATGCATGAGGGCAGCAGGAGGCCAAGGGGAGGACCAATGACCAAGTCTGATATCAACGACCGAAGTATGAAAACAACATATTCCTTTTTGTTTTGTACATTGCGCTGTTTTGCCATTCTGCTTGTTCATGACATGTTGGACTTGGGGCACAAATACACAGTGCGCTGTTTGGGTAGGATGGTAAGACGAGAGGGGTTGTAAAAAAAAAAAAAAAAAAAATTTAAAGTACGTCTTAACTCATGTAGATATAGTTTTATAATATCTTTACTGATCTCCACACCTTGAAACTAATACAATGTAATGATTACACCCACCAGTAAACTTTCTTAAATAAAATTGACCGTTGAATGTAATGATCTCCTCGATCATGAATTAAATTAATGAATTGCTCGACGTTGTTACGACTTTAGTATCGTAGATATATGCAAGGTAATCTATAAATAGAAGTAACCAACACGTTGTCATCTAGAATGACTGGTTTTGCATCTGAAGATTTCTTTTTTTTTTTTTTTGGTCTTTTAATTCCCTCAAAAAGTTGGAAACAAGAAAATAGAGAAGACCTGCAGCAAAGTCTGGGAAGAAGTTTCAAAATTATTTGGGCTTTTCTTCAACGAAGTTTGATCACCGGCAAAAAAGATGTCGCTACCTATTGCGGCCAGACATAGAGTTAATTAACACAAGTTTGATAACAAGGCACAGTTTAGTTGGTAAAATGCTTTGCTAAGGAAAACCAACCATACAAATGCATGTTTTAGGGCGTGCTTGATAAAATTGAAGTCTGAAATTTAAAGTTTGAAGTCTGAATCCATTAAGTTATTGAACTGCTAAATATTAAATTAAATGCATTTAAATGTATATCACATTCAGTGTTAAGTGAATAGGTTATCATTTATTTTTGGGAGCAAGTTTGGTTTAGGAATTCAGCGTCACTTAATTAATTCATATGTTCAATGTTTGGTTATTAAATACGCTTGAGCATAATAAGATCTAAATTCATAAAATTTAAATGTTGAATTGAATTATTAAACAGCTCTCCTATTCCCGGATTCGTATTTGTTGGAAATAGGAAAGGGAAAGGCCGTTTTTGTAGACCGGGAATCTTCCTACCTTTTTTTTGCGGTTGGAAATTGTTGCAGTCTAAAGCTACTAGCACCATTAAACTTCCCCTGGTGCTTCCTGGCGCTGATGTTAACCGGTCAGACCCAAACTCCGTTTACTCTTTCCAGTTTGCGGCGGAGATCATCGGACTAAGCTCTAACGCTTTCTTCTTCCTCCTCTTTTTTTTTTTGGCTGTACTTTTTGAACTTTGATCGATTAGTTAAGGAGATTTACCGCAGCTTGATCACCTTAATGTATGCATTGTTCGTCCTCTTCGTCATTATATTATTTCCTCTTAAAAGCATTTACAAAAATGACTTCTAGCTTTAATCAATTTGATTTTCCTCACATTTTAGTAAGGATCTGGAATTATATTACGACATGTGCACATAATTTCTTTTGTGCTATCATCAAGAAGAAAAGAAAGAGAGTCGTCGCTTGTATAAGCTTCGTGTCTGGAAATGGAAACCTGGTCGCAAAAATCTGCTAATTAATAGTTCCCTCCCTCCCAAGTTTCGGCTTCATCAATAGTTGACAAACAAACACTTCCAATCTAAAACCATAATCGGAATCTTGCAGTTTTCAAAAAATCCTTCGCGGTGTCCCATTGATTTTTATCTGCCTTATAATTGTCTTCACATCTTTAATTACGAGTATATATATATATAGTAATCTATGTATCAAGCAAGCAAGTCGAGTCAATCTCCCCGGAGAAGTCCACTGCTACCTCAACTAGTCAACTATTCATTTGCAACCCTCCTCGAATACCAACTGCCAACTACAGCTCCCGTTAACTGTCATTGCCTTTAAATACTGCGAAGTCGCTTAGCACCTAAACCATAAACCCAAGAAAGAAGTCTGCAGGACTTGCTAGCTCCTTTCTTCCCCCTCATCCCTTCTCCTTGTTTTGCCTTTTCATCATTTGAAGAACTGATCGAAATGGCGATTATGGAAATTCCCAGAAGGGAGACAGCAGCACTGCCTGCCACTCCACGAAGAGCAATGGCAAGAATCTTCTCCCCGTCCAATTCTACCTCACCCATCTCTTCATTTTCCAGTCATTTCACTTCTCCCAAGTCTTCAAACACAACCTCTGAGCCAATGATGGATGAAAACATTGAAAAGGCTGAGGCCATGATCACAAAATGGGACGTCAAAGGCTCCACCTTCGCTAAATTCACCTCGCTCTTCCAAGAGAACAGAAAAGAAGCCAAGGACTTTGTCAACTGTGTCAAGGACTTGCGCAGAGCCATGCATTTCCTCGTTTCGGAACGAGCTAGTGCTGGCAAGCTCGTGCGAGCACAAAACCTGATGCAAATGTCTATGCAGCGCCTCGAGAAAGAGTTCTACCAAATTTTGTCAGCTAATAGGGAGTATTTGGATCCAGAATCGGTTTCTAGCCGATCCTCAACAATATCACGGTCACTGTCCGCTACTTCAGATGATGAAGATGACTACAGCTCCGACCATGAGATTCAGAGAGTTGGCGATAAGATTTCTGAAGTCGAACGGCTTTCAGTGCTAGCCATGTCTGACCTCAGGCTGATTGCCGATTGCATGATCAGCACAGGTTATGGGAAAGAGTGTCTGACAATATATAAAATCATCAGAAGGTCAATTGTTGATGAAGGACTCTACCGTCTTGGGATTGAACGATACAGTTCATCCCAGATCAACAAAATGAATCCCAGTGCTCTGGAGCATCAGACAAAATCTTGGCTGAATGGAATCAAAATTGCAGTGAAAACCCTTTTACATGGAGAAAGATTTCTGTGCGATCATGTCTTCTCTTCCTCTGAAGCAATCAGAGAATCATGTTTCGCTGATATAGCTAAAGAGGGAGCAACCAATCTGTTCAGATTTCCAGAGCTTGTTGCAAAAAGTAAAAGATGGCCGGAAAAAGTTTTCCTGCTAATGGACTTGTATGAAGCAATCTCGGACCTGTGGCCGGAGACTGAATCAATCTTCTCATTTGAATCAATCTCCTCTGTCAAATCTCAAGCTTGCTCCTCTCTCCATAAGCTCAGTGACTCAGTCAGGACACTTCTCACTGATTTTGAGTCATCAATTCAAAAGAATTCATCTAAAGTTCCTGTTCCTGGTGGAGCAATACATCCATTGACCATTTCAGTGCTGAATTATGTCTCTTCACTTGCCAACTATAGCGGAGTTCTCTCTGATATCATTGCTGGTTCTGCATCCCCAACACAGTTGCCACTTCCAGAGTCCTACTTTGAGAGTCCAACGGTCAATGAGATGCCAACTTCAGCTGTCTCTGTTCGACTTGCGTGGATCATCCTTGTCCTCCTTTGTAAACTTGATAGTAAAGCTAATTTCTATAATGACACTGCACTGTCCTATCTCTTCTTAGCTAACAATCTCCAGTTTGTTGGCAAAAAAGTCTGTGCCACATCCCTCAAGTGCCTTCTAGGGGATGACTGGACGGTGAAGCTTGACAGAAAGGTGAAATTATATGCAGCAAATTACGAACTGATGGCTTGGAATAAAGTGTTTTCATGCCTACCGGAAAAATCACAAGAAGATATGTCGCCTGATACTGTAAAGACGTATTTCAGGCAATTCAAAGCAGCCTTTGATGAGGCATACCGGAAACAAAAGTCTTGGGTGGTTCCAGATGGGAAGTTTCGAGATGATATCAAACTATCAATAAAGAGCAAACTGGTACCCGTGTATAGGGAATTCTACAACACACATATTGAAGTACTCAAGGGGGACAGGACCTTGAAATTGGTGAGGTTCTCCCCAGATAATTTAGGAAATTATCTATCAGATATACTCCAAGGAACTGCTGTACTAGAGAGTTCATCATCATCATTGTCAACCTCTCGAGCATCAAGATGGCTCCCATAATCCTTGTTGACAGAGATTAAAGCTGTATTTTTTTTTGTCCTATGTTGTTGCACTTCATGTTGAAGAAGTTAGCTTTTCTAAGTAAGACTGAATTGTTTACACACTAATGAAAGCATCTTTTGCAATCATCCAGAGGTATAGTTATAGTATGTCAACAAGATGAATAAAAGAAAATTTATTCCGGTGCCCTAATGCTTAAAAAAGGAGCACAGCCAGACTGAATTCCTACTCGTCAATATCACCTATTGTACAATAACAACATGTGCAGAGTATTTCAAATGAAGTTCTCAAGTTCCAACAATTTCTGGAAATTTACATACTTATATAAAATGAAAGCAAGTCATCATGCAGTTGCTGCACGGCAGCTGCTTTCTTCGGCTGGAACGGTAATAGATTGCCAGCCTGTGCAAATCTGAAGAACAGCTTTAAGAGAGTCTGAGGCAGGTTCCAGCGTCCATGTGGGGTAAAATTCACTGGGATGAAACATGCTTTCTTCACTACATCCTGCAACTAAGAATGCTTGAGCTCCACTCAGAAACAAGTCCCCTTCAGATCTTATCAGACCAGACTTCGCCTCCTGTTTATCCGCTGCCTAAATGATCATTACAAAATTCAAATGTTGATATGTTTGAACATGTAATTAATCACACATAAGAAGACAATGATTAAACATAGGTGGTCACCAACAGCAATAATCTGGCACATTCCCCGTTCAACTTCATACCAAAGCTTTTGACCTGGTATGTAAAAGCAGGTCACAGATGCATCCTTCTTTCTGTCATCTTAATTAAGCTCTTACATGATATGTGGGCACACCAAAGTCCCAACACCCTCATGCCCCTATTAAAAATTTTCCCCTTTTTGAGAGTTACTGACTTCAGCTAAAGGATTCCCTCCTTGTTCTTGTTGCCCAATGCCATGTTACATGTTTATAACAGTGCTCATATCCCTATTGATGACTTTGTAGCTTGTACCACAGCGAATTTTGGTCGACGTCATTCATCACCCTTGAGATAATTGATTGTCCACCTTAGCCTTTCTAATTAATGAATCTAGATTGAAATGCCAAAACTCAGTTAAGTGATTTTTCTTAACAGAACTTCTAGGTATTACCTTCACCAAACACGGAATCTCTATCCTTTAGTTTTGCCCTAAACTCACCAGTCGCCATAATATTCTGATCTCACCTAGGATCTCATTTATACTTGTTTTGTCCCTGTTGCCCAGAATCTATTCCATTGAATACATTCTTGTCATAGCTGACAAGCAAAGATTGTAAATAACGAAAATTTTGAGTTAGCAACTAAGACATGGTCATTTCATTTTCAAGCAGAAACATGAGATAAGCACATTTACAGAAAATGTCGCATTATTTTTTGTTGACTTGATTTACCAGTAGGTCAAGGTAAATAACTTAATTTCTCCTTCCAGCTGGAGGATTAATAAGATGCTAATAAACTTGACAAAAATGTATGAGCTTAGTGCAAAACAAAGTGTTGTATCAATCTTTCTTCGTTTAAGCCCATCATAAGATATAAGTTCATGAAGTACCTTCTCTGTGTAGTACTCGAAAGCTTTTTTCTTCTGCCCAGCTTCATAAATGTTGCATTGAGAATATACCTGGTAACAATTTCATTTAAGATGAAGAATGAATTTCCAAGACTTAAATTAGTCTAGAAATATTACATACTTCAGTTCTAGTCTTTAAGTAATCAAAAAAACCTTCATAAGTTCCCTAACAATCAATCCAAATATCATGACCAAAAGAAAAAAAAAAAAGGCAATTTAGAGATCACTTGTGGTTCTAAACTGGCACAAACAGCATGTAGGCCCCAGTTTCAAGTGTAGTTCTACATAAAATGACTTCCCTCACAATCAATTCAAGTATCTGGGAAAAAAAGAACAATTTAGAGATTACTTGTGATTCTACACTGGCGCAAACAGCATATATGCCCCAGTTCCTGGTGTAATTGTTGTACAGATGAACTTTTCCAAATCTAACACGAGGGTGCCTTTGACGAGTCCCATCGAAAAAGCAGTGGTGAATAGTCACCCTAATACATCTATCACCAACATGAGATGGATCTGCTCCAATAAGCATTGTCTTGTCATGTTGTGTGAAGTTGCATCTACAGAATTAAAGTTCATTATCAAAATTGAATATCTCTAGAAAGCATACAACTTGAATTGGCATATAAAATGCAGTAACTATTGACCTGGAAATAGTGATGTCTGTACTTTGTCTGGTTATATCTATGAGTCCGTCATCATAATCACGAAGACTACATCGATCTATCCATATGTGCCTGGAATTCGGCTTTATCTGAATGCCATCAACATCATGCCCTCTACCGCCCTCAAACTCCAGGTTGCATATAATAATGTGCTCACATTCCTTCAGCCTCAAGCCCTTGCCGGTCAGTTTTATCCTTTGGCCACGGCCATCAACGGTTTTGTAAGATGACACGTTCAAGTATGACGAGAGATGAATGGTGCCTGAAACTGCAAAAACAATCCAAAGTGGTTCTTTTCTACGACATCCATCACGAAGTGATCCTGGACCATCATCTACAAAAAGATACCATACAAAATTTAGAGCCTAAAAACCTTCCAAATGGCACCATGATACACTGTCAGAATACCACAACATACTACAAAAGGTCAATAGATAACCTTAGCTTTCTAACATCCTCCACTACTGTCAGTTGTAACAACTGAAATCTTGAGTATAAATGAGACACCTATCGATTCCAGTAGTATATGCCTAACAAAATTATGCTCATACTCGTTCCCAACATGCTCCCCAACTACCTTCTTTTGCGAGTATGATATTATCCATCGATAAATGCTTTCTGAAACCTCTGTCACAAATGCAATTCAAACAGAGCCAATTTGTTTAAAAAATGCAGTACAAGACAAAATTACCTTAATCTTAGGCATCAATTAGAAATTTTTTGCAACCAAATTCTAGCTAGATGGCTCTCAAACTTCCATTGATTTTCCATTTGAAGTCTCAACCGGTACACAGACAAATATAGCCGTGTTCATATAGTTCAATTGTTTCAATCAATTTCTCCTTTTGCTCTGCCCAGAACAAAAAATATTTACAGCAAAACCACATTTAACCGAGAAGGGGTCAAACATACTAATCATATAAACACTAAAACATTGAGGTTTGATATTAAGATCCATTAACATCAGCTATTTTCTGCATTACCAAGAATTCATCGTTCGTTCCTATAAGAGAAGACAAAGTCAACCTGCCAAACTGGTGACGTAATAGACCGGACCGTGGAGGCCACCAACTGAGAACCTGCCGAAACCTTCCGCTCGACCGGCCAATGCTCTCAGGCTGGAATCTGCGTCAGCATACGGCAACGTTGTCATGGTAGATGCAGAACCGTAACGTCGTTGCAGGTGAGCTACAAGTCGTTAAGTTTGACGAAAAAGAACAAACGGGGCCGTTATTTTCCGGAGGAAAAGTGAAAAAAAAAAAACTGCTTTTCCAGAGGTTTTATGGTTTTTTGTATGAGTTTGCGTACTCCTAACTCTGGAGATACTCTCGGAGGTTGTTTTCCTTCCTATGACTAATAATCGGGCTCAATTTCTACTGCTAAGTCCAACCCTGATTACATCTCATCAATTGTCACACCAATCCAACGAAATTTGTACACTCCACTTGTTTTTTTTTTTTTTCTCTAAATAATAATATTTTACTGTCCCTGAGACAATACTTAAGAATTTTAGCTAGGTAAGAATATCGTCTTTTCCCTCTATAAGAGTTTAGAGTATTCATCGAATGGGAAAAAAAATGGCTTGACCGTTTGAATTAGCTATTTTTTAAAATATTTTAAAAAATTTTTATTGTAGCAGAGTTTTTAGAATATATTTTAAAATATTTTTAGAAAATATTTTAAAACATTTAAGAGTAGTAAAGTTTTTAAAATATATTTTAAAATATTAAAAATATTAAATTATTTTTAAGAGTATCTTTTAGAGTATTTTTAAAAAAATTTTATAGCTTTTGAAAAACAGATGTGTCTACATGTGCGCAGGGGGAGGGCTGACAAGTGACTATGATCAACTTCCATGATCCCTCCTTTAGCGGCCCTGCTTAAATTCAAAATTTTAAAAAATTTATAATAAGTATTACTCCCTTCTTAATATATATTCTATATTAATTAAACTCTTTCATAAAAAAATAAGATCGTGACAACTACAGATGAATTTTAGTTAGTTATATTGTAGTACCCACAAATTACTAAAAATTTTATTTTGTAGAGTGTGTGTATATATATATAGGGACGGGTCAGGTACCCATTAATTTTTAATCCTATTATCCTAACACGTCTCGGATATAAACAGATACCCGACTTTTCGCCGAACCCCTCAAATAATGCGAATCGGGTACACTATTTCGGTCAAATAATGCGAATGAGGTACTCTATTTTTTTTGGATTGGATATCGCAAGTTTTCGAATTAATGGCTATTTTTGTCCACCCGTAATTAGCATAGTGTTTTGGTTCTGAAGTACTTGGAATAATTTTTTATTCCTTTGTATGTGCTACAACGATGAATTGATGATTAATAAAAGTTTTCATTTTGCTTAAAATAATTTTTTTTAATGGTCAATTGGTTATGGTCTAACAATAGCTGGTGACAACTGGCAAATCCATTTAACTCAAATGGTCCAAAACTCTTTTGATCTGCTACATTGTCCAATTGGGCCGGGAAACTTCATGGCCTTAATGTTTCAACAGTGCTATAAGCCTATAATCGGCGGCCCATTCGATGATCGAGACAGAAACAGACTCAGGGAAGACTGGCACTCCAGCAATTAGGAGCTTTCATTGTATTAGTGGAGATCATGACCTGCCCTTGATCTGTTATATGATCCATTGAATCAGGTCCATCCTAACAGCATTGGGCTTTGTTAAAGTCTCGCATGTGAAAAAGATCAAACAATGTACCTGCTCATTTGTTGTCTAGACTGTGGTTATCTATTGAGGGAATGTAGATTTTTGTTTTGTAAACTTTCCCAAGGATGTTGTCAACAATGCTATTGCTCATCCAATTTAAATGAAAAGCGTAAATTCTCCCAAAAAAAAAATGAAGCAATCAAGATTA